GGTCTCTGCTGCCCGCCCCCCCCCCCCCCCCCCACTGCCACCCCATGCCAGGACCCTTCTGCCAGGTAATTCCCCAAGCTGCCCTTGGACCTGTCCATAGGACAATTGAGGCAGCTGGCCTGAGGCGCAGCAAAGATGCAGGGCCTTTGGGTTTTAAATTCTGTGAATTTATAAAGGCTGGTAAAGCCAACTGAGACTGTCTAATGACAGGCCTGGAAAGGGAAAGGTCTATTTAGCCGCAGCACTTGCAGCAAGCTGGAGTCTGGGGATCCCAAACGGGGGTCCCAGGTTGTCCCAAACATTCGTTTCCTGGAAAAGTTCCAGCCAGTAATTTCTAGTTCAGAAATGTCACCTGCTGTTACAAATCCTTGAAATTACAGCAGTGAGTTGGTTTGTTCAGGGTGGGAAGTAACTTACCTGAGCCTTTTTGGCTTGCAAAGCACACTCAGCTAAAAAATTCACCAACTTTTCAAGTGAGGTTATAAAGCCCCCTTTCCATGGCAAGTGGAGTAGGGATGGAAAGGGTAGCTGGTTACCCACTAAGCATCACCTTTACCGGGTGATGCTTATGGTTAACCTGCAGCCTGGCAGGGCTGGAGCAGCCCAGCGGGGGAGGGCGGGCTGCTCCAAGGTTAACTGGTTAAACTTAGAGTTTAACCGGCTACAATTTAAACTATAATTAACATCCCTAAAATGGAGTGTTTTCTTCAGCAGGCTGCTAGAGGCACTGGAAAAACGTCTGCTCTGACCTAGCCCTGCATATCCCAGCACAGTTCAGGGTGGAAAAATATTACAAGTGAATCTCAACTTCTAAAATCAAAAGATATTGATTCTCTCCGAAAAGGCTCTATTTCAACCCTTTGATTCCCGAACAAATGGGCTAAGTTAACAAGTTGTGTGTGGGAGGGGGAGGGATTTCTAACTGCTAGTCTTGCAAACTCCACTTGGACTCTGAAAATCAAGCTTTTTCTTCTGACCTCTTGTCTAGTAATTATGATTCTGCTTTTGGCCTTGCTCAGCAACCATGCTTGGGGTTTTGATTAAATGAACATTAAGGGCAAAACACTTTTGAAAAGATCATACACACAAGTCCTCCCTGCCTTCCAGAGGTATGTTCCACTTACTACAGATTTTAAAACAAAATACGCTTTAATCCATCATAAGAATGATAAACCGACTCCTTGTAGATCGGTTGTATCCAAAATGCACTTGCTTGCTGCTGTACTGGAGCCTGTCACTAGAGGGTGTTTGTGACACTTCAAAGCCAGTTCCATGGCAACGCAGCAAAGTTTAAAGGGTCTGTGCAGAGATTATAACACAGACTAAGGCTGCTCAGTGATGAATAAAATCCCAGTGGACATAAAGCTGAATTTAAGGAGCATCATTCCCTCCTGGAGGTTAGGTTAAAATGATCAAATGTTGCCTAAAATGTGTAGCATCCTGTTTAGCAGGTGTCTAACTTGAAGCTGTGAGGCTGAAATGTTCAAATGTAGATCTCTGAGTATACCCTGCCCAAACACCTCAAAGGGGTTTAACTGCAACAACCACCATGTATTGAATTCAGTGAGTGAAGTCTTAGCTTCAGACACCCAGGCCTGTCTTTTTGAAATCCTGTGTCTTTTTGTTACAGAACACCAGGTTGCTGTGGCAGGTGCCACTTCCCTTGATTAGCAGGAAACATTTTCCCTGCCCTGTTGCACTCGCTAATATCTGCATCTGCAATAGTCCCAGCCTGGGCTGTGATCTTGTTGGAGCTTGCGGACACTGCAGGAGTGGGACAGTGATGTTAAATATTCAGTGGTGGGGGTTGGTAAGAGCTGGAGATAATCTGGCCAGTGTTCTGCTTCCTTAAATTCCTCCTGCAGTTTGAACTGGAGATCACGTGAGACCAGAAGGGAAGAATGCTCTGGTGGGCAGTGTCCTGAGCTACCATGCCCCACCCAAGAGGTGGCTGCATTTAAGTTGCGGTTAAAAGTGATCGTGGACAGTAAATTAGACGGGGTTTGCATTGTAATATTGAACCAGAAAAGGGAAGTACAACTTGTTTCAAGAAAGATGGCGAGAGGCTGGGGAGAGTTCCAAGAAGAGCAGCAGAAATCAGCTGGGAGGCGGAGGGGTTGGCTGGGTGGGGGCGGTGAAGGGGAGATGGACTTAAAGCCGTGGGTGGTGCTGGGACATACATCGACTGATCTTTAGAGGATGTGCACAGCCAGGAGGAGGAGAAATAATTTAGGGTGCTGCGAAGGGCAGGGGCAGCTGAGGAACTTCCAGATCGGCTAGGATGTTGCACAGGTTCCCAAAGGAACCTGCAATCGCTGGAGATCTATAAAATGTCCCACAGGCAAGTGCTCTGCAGTGGCTGGGGGAGGAGTACGTGGGAGCTAAGAGGCTTCATCTGTCCTTACTTTGTATGACATTGTTCCCCCTCAGAGTAGGGCTGTGATCCTGGGCTCTGTCTGCCCTTGTCTTTCTAACCCCCAGCTCCTTTTTCTCTGCGTTAGTGCCTCCGCATCACCCTGTGGTCTGCCGCTCCTCTGCTGGCCCTCAGATATGTTCCAAGAGGCCTGGCCGTGGGAGAGCCCTGCTCAGCAGCCAGCATAAGAGGAGGAAGTCAATGACGCCGGATCCTAAAGAGAAACAGACTTGTGGTAAGCGCTTGTGAAGAGCCTAAGTTGATGGAGGATCGATCCATCGATGGCAGTTGGTGGAGATGGTCGGGGACACAGCCCCACGTCTGGGTGTCCCTAAACCTCCAACTGCCAAAGAATCTCTGGCACCAGACACTGGCGGAGGCAGGACGCTGGGCTAACTGGACCGTTGGTCTGACCCTCTCTGGCCATCCTTATGGCCTTAGCCTCTTTGTGGCCATCGTGGGCTTGTGGGTTATGCACTGGGGGGGCTTTGAGAAGCTCATTCTTCTTCCTTCCAAGAACTGATTTTATTTCATATGGTCGTCTTGTCTGTCGGGCAAAAAGCTCTGGATTCCAGCTGCACCTGGCAAGATGCATTGGTGGGCCGGGCCAGGAACCAGAGTTTTCTCTTTGACTTTGCAGACCTCTACTGGATTACATTCAGTTCTGTGAGGGGTGGGGGCTGGTGGCAGCACTGAACACTGCTGAGATCTTTAAACATTTTTGGAGCATTTTGAATATCCAGCAGCATGCAAAAGCTGCAGGCAGGCATTAGAACAGCCTGACAAAATGGTGCTTTGCTTCAGGTCAGGGGTTCTGGCTTAGCCACATGGGATCTAGAACAGGTCAAAAACTTTGTTCTGGTTTTGTTGACGGGGCAGAGGGGAGTTGTCGGGGGCTGGGGGGATGTTGGGGATTTTTTGACTAGCCGATTAAATGCAATTCTGCTCCTTGTGTGAAGAGCGGGGTGAGCTGGTCTTGTGCCATGGCCCCCCTCTCGCAACGGCTGCATCAGAAGAAATTAACAACACTATCGTCACTCTGATTTAAACAGCCTGAGCCCATTTTTGTGCCACCAGTGCTCCCTGCAAAGCCAAGAGCAGCCCAGGTGCCCTTGCTTCTGCCGAGGGGTGACTGCTTCTTCGGCATGCGCAGCAGGCACAGACTCCACCCCCCCCCCCTCCTGCTGCCACCTCCTGCACCGTTAGCCAGACTGAGGCAGGTCATTCCCAGCCATGTGCCTGGCTCACCAAACCAGGGAGGCTGGAAGGCAGGGCCCGGGGCCTGGCTTCGCCTTCTAGGACAGGGCTAGCGACACAAGCCAGGGGAACCGAATGGTGGGTCTACTATCCGTGTACTCAACCATGGCCTGGCCCGCTCCGTGTGCTCGCAGTTGGACAGTGCCTGAGCCCAGAGCTGGCTCTGGCAGGCTGGCCTGGTTTGTGTGGAGTGAGCATGTCTGAGCAGTCTCGGTGGGGATTGGCATGCACGGGTGTATGCCAGTGGCGCAGGGGCACAGGTTTGGATTGCACAGCTGCTAGGAATAGGCGGAGGGGTTTGGGCCTTGCAGGAGACTGGCTCTGCTGTGTCTGTAGCTGGGAGTCTGAGACTTCGGGGCTGGGTTTTCAGAAGAGCTCAGCTCAGCTCCCCTGAGGAACTCCAAGAGAAGGGCTCATCCGGCAGCTCCTAGTCCGTGGGGATGTTGCTACTGGCCGGGTAGGATGCGCTGCTGTGGGCTGGAAACAGACCGGCTGTCTGATATTTGTAACAGTTAATGGGATCTTAGTTTTCACGCTTGTTGCTGTGACATCTAGGCACACAGGAGAGGTGAGACAGGGTCCGACAGCCAGGACCTGTGATTCCAACTCCCCACCTTAAGCCACCTGCTACATCTTCCCCCGAGGCGCTGATCCTCCTGTACCTAGGACCGAGCACTGGGCTCTGTCGGCAAAGGTGCTAACTGTCCTGTCCCGCCCTTCCGCCCCCAGATATCCGCCTGCGAGTCCGAGCCGAGTACTGCCAGCACGAGACGGCACTCCAGGGCAACGTCTTCTCCAACAAGCAGGACCCCCTGGAGCGGCAGTTTGAGCGCTTCAACCAGGCCAACACCATCTTAAAATCCCGGGACCTGGGCTCTATCATCTGTGACATAAAATTCTCAGAGCTCACCTACCTCGACGCCTTCTGGCGCGACTACATAAACGGCTCTTTGCTGGAGGCCCTCAAGGGCGTCTTCATCACGGACTCGCTCAAGCAAGCCGTGGGCCACGAGGCCATCAAGCTGCTGGTCAATGTGGACGAGGAGGATTACGAGGTCGGGCGCCAGAAACTCCTGCGGAACTTGATGCTGCACACGGCCCCTTGACCTTCCCTGGGCTCGGCCTTGGCTGTTCTTTCAGAGCCAATTGTTTCATTTTTTTTAAAGGAAAAAAATCATTTAAAAAACCCACTGACCCTCCGCCTCCCTCAGCAGACTCCTGCAAAGTGCTGTGTAACTGTAGGGCTGGTCTGAGCAGGAGGAGGGCTGTGCTACCACTTAGCCAGCTCTCTGGTGGCCCCAGCCTAGCTGAGAGTCCACAATACCTAGAGCAGTCCAGAGAGCGACTCCCGCTTTGCCCGGGAGCTTGGCCGGAGGAAGAGCTGCCGACAGGAGTGCTGGGTGCTTCCGTGTTCTGTCCTGTCCCCCTCCACTCCATTTTCTCTTGTGCTGGTTTTTCTTTTATACGGTCTGATTTTCTAAAAAAGTGCAAAACTGTCTTGGGGCACTGGGGCCCTGCCCGTGTGCAGGAGGGACATGGGGCGGTGGGACTCCTGATTATTCACTTTAATAAAAATGATCGAGTGCAGTGGGAGCTGGTGTGTGTGGAATGAACAGCAAACGGGGTGCGGGGCAGCCTCCTTTTTTACCCCAAACCCACCCTGTGGCACTGGCCTTCCGTTAGTGGGAGCCTGTTTCCACCAGTCCACTTGGGTGGTTCTCAGCTGGGCACCTTGCAGGTGTCCCCTTTAGCCAGTTTGGAACCCTCTCCAGCGTGGGATGCTGGGAGGGATGGGGCACTGTGTGCCCCCCATGCGCTGGCTGCCAGGTCAGATGTGTGATGGAGAGATTCACTCAGGCTGGTTGTAATCTAAACAGCTGCCGAAGGAGTTTGTGAGGGTGGGGACAGAACTGACAGGCTGAGCGAAGGTGATCGCTGTCCCAGCCCCTGGCGCGGCTCTGTGGCATCATCTGCACTAGGCCTGGGAGGAGGAAGGGGGCTTGTTTCAGAAGTAACATTTGCACCAGCGTAGCCTGTGCTGTTAATCTGCCTCCAGAGGCGGGAGCTAAGTGTTCCCTTCGCTCAGTGCCCAGCCTGCATGCCTGTTACCCCATCTCTGCCAAGCCAGCATCTGCCTCTGACACCAGAGGGAGACCTGAGCAAGGGCCTGCCTACCCTGCTGCTGTCTGGTACATGGAGCTGCTCCATGGCTGCTTCCCCCCTCCCATGAGATGCTTGCGGGCCCACCTAGGGATGTGCATTCCCACTCCCTTTGCCTGGAGGGTGGGGAACATGTGGGGGCAGGACTGGGCTTTTGGGGTGTTCAGGGGCCTTGTCCCAGCCTATGGGTGGGGATGGTGAGAACCCCGCACTGGCCCAAGTCACAGATGGTGTCCCAAAGTCTCTCCCCCTCTTGCTACTGGGCCCAGCAGCAGTGGGGCTGGTGGGGCCCTGGGGCTGTCGCAGGGAGGGGTGCATTAGCACAGGCTGTAGAGTAAGGCTTTGGCACAGGGTCTGCTCCCAAGTGGGAGGATGGTGGCTCCTGTTTGATCCGGCCCCACAGTGGAAGGTTTATGATTTGAATTTGTTCCCTGCTTGGTTTGACAGGCTCCAGCTGGGAACCTAGAGGTGGGGGATAAAATCCAATCAGGGCTGTGCTGGCTGGTCAGCTCCTTGGCACCGGGCCTAGGCTGTCTTGCCAGCAAGGGATGTCCCAGGAGGAAGGATCTGCTGCCAGAAGGTGCAGGCAGGAGGCCGTGCGCGGCATTAGGCCCAGTCTAGTTACAACCACAGCTTGCTGGCCCCAGAGCCATCGTTCTTCCTCTGCACAGCGCCTAGCGCCTCAGCTCCACTCACTTAGTCTCAGAGCATCTCCCCCCATCACATGCGGGACACCGGAGGCCACTGAGCTGGCTGGGGGTGGTCACTAGCTTAGCTGCACATTGTAAAGGTGGGGATAACTGGTTATGTCTTACATTTGTTACTCCCTCCCCTCCTGCTGAGCCCAGAACTTGGAGCCAGACAGACCTAGCCAGTCACATGCCCACTTGGTAACACCATCTCCCGGGCCTCTTGGATCCAGTGGGCCTGGGGCCAGACTTGGCACCTGGCGGTTGAGTGGATTTAGCACCGGTCATTGAGTAACGATCTTCTAGGAGCAATGCTTACAGTGTGATTGGTAAACTCCCTCCCTCCTCTGGGTTTTTTTTCCTTGTTACTTAAGCACCCAAAGATTTAGGAGCCTCGTCCAGTGCAGCTCCATTTACTTTTCTGTTGAGTTATGGAGGGAACAAATGGGTCTGAGGGTTAATTTTCTGGAGTTGATTTTTTCCCCCACCCTGCCACATTGCTGCTGAGCTGCAAGATACCACCCATGTATGCCCTGCCTCAGCCAACTGCAGGCCTCCAGGGCCCCAGCAGAGGGGCTCAGACCCAGATGCTCAGAGGTAGGTTGTTGCCGACTCCCCAGGGGAGAGAGGCACCCCTGTACTTTTGAGGGTCTGTGCCTTGACAGACCGTTGGAAGCCCACTCACTGTGTGTGGGTAAAGGGATGTAGGTGACAGAGCGGTGCCTCCCTGCACGGGCATGGCACGTTGTGCTTGCCAAGCCCCATCTAGTGATGTCGGCATGTGACAGCCACATGGGCTGCAAACCTCATGCCTCGGTGGGACTGTTTGGTGTGCGTGTTTGATGCATTTTTCTATCCACAGGCTGTTGCAGTTGAGTGCGTAGACTCTTCCCACACACACTTCCCCTATTGTTTAAGACAATTCTGGCACAAACTGTGTAATTTCTGTGACTCTTCTGTATTTTTTAAATTTCCAATATACGTCATAATCCCCATGTAGCTTTCAGTTTTCTTGAAATAAACATCTACTGCATCGCGTCTGCCTCCTTAACTGCTTTGTATGCAGGTCCAGACCCACCTGCTGAGGAGGGTCACTTCTGTTCCTTTCCAGCTGGTTGGGATGTTTTGTTTTGGTGTGCGCTATCTGGCCTCTTCCTGTTTCCTTCAGGGGGGACCTGTAGCATTTTTTCATCTTGTTTTCAAAATCCTAACTGGCCAGGCTCTGCCAAGGCTCAGAGCATTGTTAACTGTATCCAGCTGGCCTCAGCTCGGGCCTGCTTTTGGGTTTTGTGAAGGTGTGATCCTCCATATTGTCACATCTGCACTGCAGTTAAAGACACTGTGCTGGGGAAAAGGTGCCAGGAGCCATCAGGGTTCTTTCTGGGGGTTGCATGGCTAAAGAATCGTCCTCTTTGCTGACGAATTCCGCCCCAGAACCAGAAAGCCCGAGGCAGGGATGTCTGCCTGAGTCTGCAGCCAGCTCCAGCTGGGAAAAACTGCCCTAGGTGAGAGCTGCCCTCCTTACCTCAGGAACCTCCAGTATCTGTTCATTAGCAATGTTCACAGCAGAATCCTGGTCCAAGATGCTGGTCCAGAACCCTGCTCCAAGATGCTTCTGCTCTGAGTAAATAACTCTGGGCTGACTGTAGTTATCTGTCTTTACATTCAATTAAAAAATAGGACTTGTGTGAAGCCGGAGCTGCTGCAGGCTCTATCAGCCTGTAGCTGCCATGGGGGGAGGGGCAGGCACTGATTGATTTATTGCACTGGCTCAGCTAATGCACCTGAGGTAAGTTAGGGCTGGACCTGCTGCATTTGACTGAACCCCTATGCTCCTCCTGGGAGGAAGACCAACGGATGCCCTGTTCTACCAACACAAACCTGAGGGCCAGAACAGCAGTGCCCTCCCTAAGGTCTCATGTCGGGGGCCGGAACAGACAGCAGACCCTGTGCTCGTGTAGAAGAGGTGGGGGAAGTCTCTACCAGCTGGGAATAGAAGCCAGGCTCCCTGCTCTAACTACTGGAGAGACCGTCCCTTTCCTGGGGCTGGGAGTCTGCTTCCTGCTAACTGGGTGGTCTTTGGGCCTTGCTTTCCATAGGCCAGGAGGAGAAAGTAACACAAGAGGGACAGTAGTTTAGGTGCAAGGCAGGGCTTCCAAGAAGGGATGGGAGATGCTGCTTGGGCAGGGCAAGTTTTCCCTGCCTGTGGAGGTGGGGAGATACTGAGCCTATAAGTGAGAGGTACAGCGGAAAGATGACCCAGTTCCCCTGCCTTGCCCCACTGTGGGACTGGTGTCCAGGGCTTTGGCTCAGCTGTTACTTCCATTGCTGAGAGTTGCTCTCAACCCTTCACCAGGCTGCTGGTCTCATGCTGACATGGAGCTTTTCCCCCTGAAGATTCTGCAGAGCGGTAGGGGCCTGGGCGAGAGGGGAAAGGGACCTGCCTATGGTCTTGGAGCAGCTTTGTGGGGCTATAACCAGTGAGCGGTTCCTTGCTCCTGGACCCTGCGGACTCAAAAGGTGAAGCAGCCCAGGCCTCACGGAGGCAGAAGCATGGAGAAAACCAGGCCCATCCCCTTGAGTGTGACCCCTTTCCCTCTTAGCTTCCTACCCAGACACTTCTAAACACAAAGCAGAGGGGGACTGTGCGGGGTGGAGAGCATCAGTTGTCCTGCATCCTTCCCCCTCCCCATACCTGGGAAATTCACACACCCCCCTCACTCTGGCAGGAGACCGTAGGGCAGGGAGGTAGTAACAAGGCAGCAGGTAGTTTACAGCTCTAGCATTTACTGAGGTGGAACAGATGTGACAGCAGCTCAGCTCCAGCCTCCTCCAGAACCGTGTTGCTGCTCTGAGCTGGGGTTTAACCAGCAGCTGCAGGGGTTCCCCCACCCCAAGCAGCTCAGCTACTGGAGCCCCCCTGCGAATGCTTCGGTGAGGCGGCAGCTGCCTGGGGGCCCACAGCTGCTCCTTTCACTCTTGGGAAATCTTTCTTCTTCCCTAGGGCAGGAGGAGATGGTGCTGCAGTTCCACGCTGCCCCTCAGAGGGCACAAGTGGGGAGAGACCTCCAGCAGCCTCAGCAACCCATCTCGTCACTAAATGAGTCACTGGGTCTGCCCAGGGTGGAGTGATGCTGGGAGGAGTCTCTGCTCCCTGCGTATGGAGCACAGCTAGGCTGGCAGCGCCTCAAGGAAGTGGGGGCTCCCTCAGCACGGTGACCCTGCCATACAGATCGGTCCGGCGGTGGGTGCAGACTGGCATCTCCTGGCGGATGCAGTGCAGGTAGGCCAGGTCGATCTCCGCATAGCACAGGCCTGGTCCCTCCTGGCACTGGGCGATCACGCTGCCCCAGGGGTCCACCACCATGGCGTGGCCGTAGGAGGTGCGGCGTTCGTGGTTCTTCCCGGTCTGAGCCGCCGCCACCACGTAGCACTGAGTCTCGATGGCACGGGCACGCAGCAGCACCTGCAGTGGGCAGATGGGGCAGTGGTATTCCCCAGTGGGCTCCAAATGAGCCAACCCCACCGGCTAGCTCCTGTGCGAGCTGCATGCTGGAAAAAATGGCAAAGGCTGCAAGCCCAGATTTCCCCCGTATCACTAGTGGGGCTCAGCTCAGCCCCAGCTGGAAGCACAGGCTAGAATTCAGGTTGCCTGACGCTTTCCATTCTGAGGCCGTTTTCACTGTCAAACCTGAAGGGCTGATTCCCCAGGCGGGGAGCCGGCCTCGGGGTGAAGGCTTTTGGAAGGTAGCAGCTAAAACAGTTCAGCCAGTTCTGAGACAGCATTAGGGGCAAAAATACATGGCTTGGCCCAAGTTAAACCCATTCTCACCAGGCTTTTGCGGAGACAGTCTAGTGCTCGAAGCTTTAGCAGGGACTTGGTAAATGGGGGAGGGTCGCCCAGCCCTCACCATGAAGTGATCTCAGAAAAATGTGTTTGCATGTGCTCAATACAGACAGAGTTGGCAGCAAAGTTCTCTCTGCACTGAGCATGCTCCAGCTCCCTTTCCCCAGCTCCTACACACCAGGGCTATGTCTACACTGGCACCCTTTCCCGGAAATGCTTAAAACGGAACAGTTTTCCGTTATAAGTATTTCCAGAAAAAGCGCGTCTACATTGGCAGGACGCTTTTCCGGAAAAGCACTGATGATTTTACAGTAGATCGTCAGTGCTTTTCCGGAAAAACTATGCTGCTCCCGTTCGGGCAAAAGTCCTTTTCTGGAAAACTGTTCCGGAAAAGGGCCAGTGTAGACAGCACAGATTTCTTTTCCGCAAAAAAGCCCCAATCGCGAAAATGACGATCGGGGCTTTTTTGCGGAAAAGAAATCTGTGCTGTCTACACTGGCCCTTTTCCGGAACAGTTTTCCAGAAAAGGACTTTTGCCCGAACGGGAGCAGCATAGTTTTTCCGGAAAAGCACTGATGATTTTACAGTAGATCGTCAGTGCTTTTCCGGAAAAGCAAGCAGCCAGTGTAGACAGCTGGCAAGTTATTCCGGAAAAGCGGCTGCTTTTCCGGAATAAGTGGCCACTGTAGACACAGGCCAGTTGACTGAGTATGCCTCAGCCTAAGGCTGCAGGAGCCGAGTAGGACTTCCCCTGCAACTGCCTGTCCCGGTGCTGGGAGCCTGTCTGGCATCAGAACTGAGAGAAGGGGCCTGGCAACCCAGCAGTGTGCAGGAAGAGAGACTGGAATTTGGTGGGGTGAGGCAAGGGGAGCGGAAGGGATGCAGGATGGGAGATGGGCAGGGCAGGAGATAGATTAAGAACAAGAAGAGGGAAAGGAGCAGGAGGAGAGGAGAATGGAGAGGTCAGGGCTGGGTAGGGGAAGAAGCAGGTATTGGTGGGGACTGAACTCCAGATTGCCAGTACAAAACCTGCAGGCCTCTAAAGGAGTCACCTCCTGCTTATAATGGTCAGGAGCGGCTCTAACTCACTGAGCATGCTGTGATCTCATGCTGTGGGCTCTGCATGGCCCATGCGACCACACAACAGATAGTCACAGCTCAACTCACCTCCCAGTGGGCAGAGCCTGTGGTCACCGTGAAGGCTGATGGGTAGGTAAGAATCTCTGCCCCCTTCTGCGTTAGCGCCAGAGAGATTTCCGGGAATCGCAGATCATAGCAGATGGCAAGGCCGACCTGGGGGAGGAACGACGCAGAGATCCCCTGGGTGCTGCTTGTGATGGACCCAAACCAGACAAAGGCCGCATCTGCCTTAAGGACCAGAATTCACCCCCAGGGCAGCTCTGGCCTGTCTGTCCCCGCTTCAGTGCAGCTGTTGTACAGTCTGAGGGTGTGATTGTGCGTGTTGCTCCCCAGGCCACATCCTCTCTCCCCACCCCCTGGGTCATAGGTTCTGAACCCTCCTGACAAGGACACATGGGCAGCCCCGCATTATACATCAGCTCAATGTGTACATCATTATACATCAGCACTAAAGGAAACCCAGAGGCCACCAGGTGCTCTCCTGATCACTCAGCATGTTCAGCCTTGGCCACCTCCCTGCAAGAAAGGCCTGGTACAAGGAGGGCAGGGAGCAATGGAAGGACAGAGCCAAGTGACTAGGGCTACTTCACTGGAGAGAAGGCCAGCTGAGCTCTCATTTATCCAAGGACCTATGGGCATTAGGTGCATTGTCTAGGTCAGATATGGAAAGCTATGAGAATGTACCCTCTAGCTGACCAACGGAACTCACTGCTGCAGGATTTTATTGCAGCAAACTTTGGTCAGGGAATGGGAGCCAGGATGGCTCCAGCACTGATTCTAGCAGGAATCAGAATCTTGTGGTCAGCGGTCCTCATGCTCCAGGGGCCATTGGGAGCCAGGCATAAAGCTATGCTACCACCAGGGTGCATCATGGGAAGTTCTACATCCGTCCAGAAGGGAGCGATGATTGTTGGGGGAAGGGTTGGGCATGTTGCCCCATGCATTAGTGAAATCAGGGAACTTGCCTGGAGATAAGGAAGAGGCTTCCTGCATCAAACAGGATGACGTCAACCAAATATTCAGCCCAGTGAGATGCCTCCCCTTCCCCAATCTGCTCCAGATGTGCCAGGGACTCATGGGAGCCAGCCCAGGTTACTGGGGCTCCTGGCTCAGCCCAAGGCGCTCTCAGCTGCAGTGTCCAACCGCACTTCCCCTCCGATGCTTTGAACACAGTTCCCAATGGAAAATGTGTGCCAGACAGGAAACCCATCTCCAGTCCAGGCCTAGCCAGAGCTGCCCCGATGAATGGGACATGCTGGGGGCCACTGCTGGTGCGGCCTGGCCCTGTCTAGGTAGCTGCTGCCATCAGGGCTCAGGCTCTGTGGCTGTGAGAGCAAAGGAAGGGCCCAGCTTTGCCCTCAGCTACTCCAGATCGAGAGCGCAGGGCCTGGCCAGAAAGCCTCAGAGCGGAACTCGCCCAGCCCAGCCATGCTGGGGGCCCTACCTTCCCAGCAGGGGTGCTCACAGGTGGCACAATCTCGGGCCCAGGGTTGGTGAAGTTGCTCTCCTTCATAGACACTCGCCCCTGCAGCTCCACGTCGCAAAGGTGGATCTTCCTGTACGTGGCCACGACGTGCCCTGGGGATGAGGGTGGAGGAAGTGGCAGGCAGCATAGGCCTCCGCTGCCCCTGGGGAATCACTAGCAGGGGAAAGGGCCAATGCCCCGTGCTCTGCGAGTGCTTCGCAACCCACCACTAACTCCCCCCAATGCCCCTCGGAGATGGGGAAGGGTCATCCCCACAAACAACCAGCACAGTTGAGGACAGAATTTGAGTCCTCACGCCCAGCCCCACCATTGCACTAACCCACTGGACCTCCCACCCCACCCCCAGAGCCAGGGATAGAGCCAAGAAGCCTGACTCCCAGCCCTCCCACCTCCGTTCCACCCACTGGATCCCACACCACTCCTAGGCCCAGGGAGGGAACCCAGGAGTCCTGGCTCCCATGCTGTCTCCTTGCCAGCTTGGATGACTGGGTGGGTCTGGTCCATGCTCTGGCCCCCAGCTGCCAACATGGGTGTGATGCTATCTACAGCCTACACTAATATGGACTCTTTTACAGAAGTGTGATCAATCTTGTGCCAGGTATATCTGGTCTCAGAGGGGGAGCGGGGTCAGTCTGTAGCTACAAAAACAACCAGGAGTCCTGTCGCATCTTAAAGACGAACAGATTTATTTGGGCACTAGCTTCCGTGGGTAAAAGCCACTTCAAAGTGGTTTTTACCCATGAAAGCTTATGCCCAGATAAATCTGTGCGTCTTTAAGGTGTCCCAGGACTCCTCGTTGTTTTAAAAGTGCGTCTAGTGAAGTAGCACTGGAAAGGTTGCAAGCCGCTGAGTAGTATTATTTTGTTAGAATGTGTGAATCAACACCATGCGTGGCGTTCTGATATTCTGCTGTCTGTTTGTAACTCCAACATGCTGGGAGTCTGAGAAACTCCCGCAAGTTGGATCTGCAGAAGTAACACAAGAACTGCAAACAAGGGCCTGTGCACAGGAAGTGCCAGCAAAATGTGCTTGTCAGGACCATTGGCAGAGCACGCCACGGAACTGCCCGACCCATGACACAAGCAGGATTTTTCCAGCAAAAAGAGTCAAGATATAAAGAGGGAGACCAAAGGGCCTGGCTAACCACATCACTGCACAGCTGAATTTTAACAAGGGAAATTCCAAACAAGCGGCCTGAGGTCCCCGCAGCTATTTGGCCAACCCAGAGAGACTGATATACAACTGCTTCAGGGGGTAGCCAAGTTAGTCTGGGCATTTGTAAGTTAGTCTTTAAAGTGCTACCAGACTGTTAGTTGTTTTTAAGTTTATTATATGCAACTAGCAGATTTAACATCCTGTTACTGTTTTGGACAACAGACTGTGATCCAACTTTTATTTGCTTTGGCCTCTCAGTAACTCCCATTCTGTTTTCTTAATGTATCCATTGTTAATTCGTTGACTAAAGATTGGCTCCAGCATTCTTTAGCAAGCATTGACCTGTCAGCAACTGGCCCCCTCAGGCTGGAAGAACCTAATGTCCTGTGATTTTCAGTAGTAACGACCTTTCCTCACAGAAGCCCAGTCTGTCTGTTGGCTCCACATTAAGCTAGGACAGCGAGGCAGGAGTACACATTAGTGGCAGCTCTAGTTAAATTATAGACTCTATGGCCAGCGTGGGAGCATCTGGCCAGTTTCTGACAGTCTGACCTGCGATTGGCCCCTGTGGCTGTGACCCAGACGAGTCACACTGACGATGGGTAGAGAGTGGTGGCCCCTTTATTGCAGGGGCTTGGAGCACAGGGGCAGTGTCAGGAGATTGCCCAGCAGGGAGGGCTGGCGTGGAACCGGACGCTCTCACCTGTGGCATCCAGGAGCAGGTGGCAGTTATAAACCCTCTGGGTGCTGGCCCAGTCCTCACCTCTCTCATGGAAACCACCCAGAGACAGCCACACCCCACACTCCCTGTCAGGGAGAGACATCACATTACAAAGGAGCTTGGCCCTCACTCCCCAACCTGTAATGGCCCTGGAGACCAAGAGTCGCATACCCCAGGGCAAGCTTCCCTCCCACATTTCCCTGCTTGCGCGGACAGCACTGGTTCCACAGCCCACTCAACGCCTGGCCCTTATGTCGACGGGTGGCCGGGAGTGCCAGCCAAATCTGTCCAGTAGGAACAGGACTGAGACCTGCCCAGCAGGGACCCACTGGGGTCAATGCCTGGACTGGCAACCCAGAGCTAATGGGCTCCACAGCATGTCCCAACAAGAAGGGCTGTTATGCACACAGTCATTTCAAGAGATGCTGAGAGGCCTGCGGTGAACCTTACATTGCTTTGCTGCCTCTCCTCAACCCCCGCCCACCCTGCCTGGGAAGGGACCACAAACCCCATCAGCCCCACCAGGGGGTTCTAGTCACATCCAACCTCTCCCCCATAAAGGCCCAACCTTTCAGAGATCTGGCAACCCCGTAAGGTAGATCATTCCTGCCCCCACCCCTCACCCAGCTCCCACGCCGAGCCCCTTGCTTAGAGCAAAGAGAATTCAGGACAATCAGGTGTGAAAGAGTCAAAAGTGACATGGGCAGGGGAGCAAGCTCTAGACAAAATGGCACACGGGGAGAGCGGTGGGAACAGGGTGACATGAATTGTAGGCTCACAGTTTGGCTGTAGAGCAGCATACAACTGTGGGCCAGCTCCCCAGGGATGGGGCGGGAGCCCCCATCACAGCCATTTGAACAAGGCCGGGACAAGTCCTGATAAACAGACAAGCTGGCCCAAACCTGCCCTGGCCCTGAAAGATCACCCAGCACCATCTGGGCTGCTCTTCATTTATCCAGAGCCGTACCTGGCCAGGCCGGCGTATCTCATAATCAGATCTCCCTCCAGGCTCTCAGCCAGGCTCAAGGTCTCTTGCTTGCTGCTGCCAATGAAGTCGAAGGCCTCAGGGAGGAAGACAACGCAAGCCCCACGTTGCGCTGCCTCTCGGACGAGCCGCGAGCAGCTGGTGAAGTTCTGCTCCTTGTCAGGCGTGGAGGTGAGCTGGCACACCGCAATGAGGGGCTTAAGCGCAGTAGCAGCCATGATGCCAGGTTGCCAGGGGGCACAGGACAGCAGGGCTGGGCTGGGGACCAGGAACAAGAGGAGAGTGGAACAGACTGATCAGGGAAGGAGCAAGAGAGGCAGGTAACTGCAGCTCCTGAGCCCCAGCCCAGTTTATATGGTCCCTGTGGGGATGCTGTGTTACTAGACAGGAGATGGCCTTGGACAGGATGCTCATGTAAAGGCCTCAGAGATTCACCCCCCCAGACATCTACCTCCCCACAACCATGCTCATCATACCTGCAGCTGGCTGCGCGGGCGGGGATCTTTGGCAGCTGCCTCCAGGGAACCTGGCGACAGGTGTGGTGCAGCAGGCATAGGGGGGCCTGGATCACTGCTCTCAGCCTGGAGGATGCACAGGGAGGGGGGTTTAATGACTGTTCAACCACTGCAGCAGGAGGCCCTGATGTTGCCTGCAGGTGGCAGCCTAGGAGTGATGGGTGGGATGTGGAGGGGGCTTTAAAAGAAGATTAATGTCTCCCTCACAATAGAAAATAATAATGGGAAATAGGAATAGCTCAGCGTTCACGAACAACCCTACCACAACACCCCAGCCAGATGGGCCCAGTGCTCACAATCTTACCACAACAAACTAGCCCAGGGCTCACAAACAATCCCACCACAACAAATGAGCAACGCCAACGCAATGCTCACAAACAGCCCTGCCACAACACATCAGCACAGACAGTCAGGTACTCATGAACAATCCTACCTCAGCTCACCAGCATTGTGCTGATGAACACAGCAGCCTGGTCAGCCCAGTGGTTGTGAACATCCCTACAACAACACACCAGCCTGGCTGGCCCTGCGCTTACTGCTTGGTGCACTCCTTGAAAAGCTTCCCAAAATACCAATATTTTGTCATCCAGATTCATGTTCCTTTCACAGTTGCTTTCCCTAAACATCTGACCAGGTTTTTTGATCTGAGGAAGTGGGTCTGGCCCACGAAAGCTCATCATCTAATAAACCATCTTGTTAGTCTTTAAAGTGCTACATTGTCCTGCATTTTGCTTCATCTGATCAGATGGGATTCTTGGGCTGAACAGCCCAGAAATATGACACTAAGAAGAGGACTCAGGCAGCCAGAGACAAAAAAACAGTTTCTTGCTGCTCATGGTTTATCTCCACAATAGCAGGAAGAAGGTCAAGTCTGGCTTGAGCAAAGCATGGGAATCTAGGGCGAACAGAAGACATCATGATCCAAGAACAAGAGTGTTGTATCTTTAAAGCTTCCTTCAGCCCAAATGTTAATATGCTGTTGAAGTTTAAAAGGTGTCAACACAAATCAAGAGTTTGAAATAGTTTGACTCAAAGTCCGTTCCTCTTTGAACTCTCACTCGTTGGGCTCCAGTGATTTACACTAGCGCTGCAGTTATCCGGGCAGCTGCCAGTCCTGGGACCTATTCCTGGCTATGTTTTGTTGCCCCTAAGTCTCAGAGTCTCCGGACGGATGGAAATAAAATGGGGAAAGCAGAGGAGCAACTCCAGCCTGCTAAGGGAATGGATGAAGCGTGGAAATGGTCAGCGCCACACACACAAAACAAGGAGGCGCCCAGGCCTCATCCCCTACCAGGGGCTCCCAGAAATCTTGGGTCCACCCCAGAACCTTGCCCCCTCTGCTCCTCGTCCCCAGCCCCTCCCACTGGCAATATCCAGCCTGCTCTAAACTGGCCAGTCTCTGGGAGGGGGGGCGG